ATCTATCTATCTATCTATATAATTACTATCTGAAGTAATATTTAGGCCATAGATCCAAAGTTGGATCAAGGTCTTATGTATGTAAATCTACCGAACTCTGAAATCATCCACCAATTTGTTATCCTTAAAATGTTGTGAGATCTATAATATTGTACTTGGCTTTATGAAAAAAATTTATTGATGACTGAATAATTATATCCTCATGATAATGTTGTTAGTGGAATTTATGAGATAACACCATACCATGTTTCATATTTCTTTCCATAATGTTCTTTTTCAGTTCTTTGTATACTTTGCATTTTCATTACCTTCATCAGATCAATGAGAAGGGATCTATTCCTTATCAGTTTCATTCTGAAATGAAAATGATATAGAGTAAACTACTAATTCAATCCCTTCTAATCTCTATTCGATGGTTAATGGCATCAATGCAGCATCTAAAGCTTAATCGTTTTCTTGTATTCCAGAGTAGAATTGACTAAACAATTGTGAGATTTGGATTTAGTTGTGTATAGCAAATTGAAGGGAAATAGCAAAGGTATTTGTCTTAGCAGCAGTTGTTCAGCTTGAGGGGTTCACCTAACTTCTTTTGCATTCCTAAGAAGTAGGCAGGCTATTGTTACAACATAGTTCCTGATCACCAACTCTGCATGCTTTGACAACAAAGAGAACTGTATCAGATTCCTCATCTACCTACAAATGCTCCTCTCATCTTAAAATCTTATGCATCTCTAAGGAATAAAGCACAAGCTCATATCTTGCCTTCATTTCTTCACCTTTGATTTTGTAGGAGGCAGAAAGAAAAGCTTAGATGAACTCTAAGAAAAAGTGTTCTATGCATGATTTCCATCACAAGAACATGCTCATGTTTGCCTACTCAAACTAGTCTTCTTTATAGGATCCTATCCAGCTTGACGATGAATAAACTACAAAGCATTAATCTTTTTTCTTCTTTTCTTTTCTGAGAATTCAGAGGTGAAACATTGCCAAACTCACTCTTCAGTGTCTACAAGTGAAACTTTCATATTTTGGGCAATGCTGTTGCAACAATAGTGTTTCACATCATTGGGCTCATGGCATATTCCATCATCATCAAGATCAATAGAACAAACATGAGAAAAGATAGTTATGTTCTTATTCTTATCATGGAAAAGAAGGATTCCATCAACTTTCCCAATTTTTAATACATGAATAGAATGGGATGGACATATGCTTCGATGAGTGTTTTACAGAGTGATAAGAAAAATCTCTAACACTTGGATGAAGGATTCTGAAAGAATAATTGTACTTCTGATAACGATAGATATGGTAATCTCATGATGATAAGCCATTTTGTTGGCAATCCAGTGCTCATTCCTAGAGAATCATATCCAACACAACTGCTAAACTATTAGATTTGCATGAGAACCAGTGGATCTCACTCAAGATGGGGGAGAGTAGTATACTCAAGTCCTGGATGATCAATTATTGGTAATAGGCAGAAGTATATCTGTACTGCTCAAAACAAGATATGACTCAAACGAAATAAAAAAGAACAAAGCAATACAAGTGATATTATTTATCATTGTTATTATCATTATTTTTGTCAATACCATTGCCATTGCCATTACCATTACCATAATCGTTATCGTTATCATTATCATTACAAATACTATATAGTCATTATCATTATTATTACCATTATCATCATCATTACCATTACCATTAACAATATACTAATATCATTATTATTACGAATATCATTTCCATTACTCAACGTAAAGCATGATATTAAAATAATCTGTATGATTGTGAGGTTATCCTAATTGCTGCATGATTTGCTGAATGTATCATAGGTTACTCTGAATGTTTGGGCAGGAAAAATCACAAGCTGATGATCCTTGTAATGATGGTTCAATTCTTGTTAGGTGTTTGTCATCATGCAGAACCTAACTTTAAGATTGATAACTGAACATGTCGAATCATAAAATTGGAGCATGAATATAATGTGAACAATGAATTTACCTTTTTCTTAGGAAGGATGGATAGATCAAATCCATCATGCTATATTAGAGAAAAAAGCAAAGTGCCATAATAGGGCTGTCGGTATATTGGTCAATATACAGCCCATTGCAGCATGGCCTTGAAATGAATCTTGATTCCTCCTCCAACAATGAGGGGGCCCTGCAGGAATCAGTGAAATAAATATATGAAGATTCTTCTCTCAGAAAAAGCAAAAGAAGATGCTTATTTTTGTATAAATATCTAAGAAATCTGATTCAGGACCACACCTAGATGTGCCAGTCAAACAGAATTTTCAGACTTCTCCTATCAGATAATATGAGTACTACTCAGTTGAATCCATCTCACAGTTTGAACTCCAAGCTCCATCGACCAAGCTATCCTGTCAAACCAGTCTCACATGCACTGCACCCCCAAAGCTTAATTCTCACGGCTCAGGAATCTTGCAACTTCGGAACTTGTAAAGACATTAAAAGACATGGCAGTAGGTCCAAAAATTCCCTTGAGAGGTATATGGTTCTTCCTCTTTTTATAGTCAGTCATTCATGGATCTATTCTTCTGGACACGCAACAGTTGTTCCACAAAAAGTTGCTGCTGCAGAAGATGAGTGGGAAGCTTTATCCCAGGAGAATCTAAAGTAAAAATTGCAGGTTCTGGTCCATGGTAAATCAACAAGGAGAAGATCTCTTCTCAAGTTGCTGTGAGGATTAGATCAGTCCAAGTGTTCTGTTCAAATGATTCCAGGTTCTCTTTGCAATTGCCTTATAAAGAGAGCTTGGCTCTTCCTTCACCAGCATGAGAAATTAACTTCTCCTTGCTTGCCATTTCCTTCCCAAGCAGAAGATGTATCACCATTATCATCAAAGCCACAGCAATATCTTTTCTTCTAGGGAAACTTTTCCTGCAGACGGGCAATTGTTGCTGCAAAGAGGAGGGAGTGCTCCAGAAGAGTCAGGACTGGTTCTATCAACCGATGCCAAGCCTAGGTTGAAGTGGACATCTGAGCTCCATGAGAGATTCATAGAAGCTGTGAATCAACTTGGTGGAGCAGACAGTGAGTAACTTAACAAAAGAAGAAGACAGAATCCAATGTAATCATTCTCATTCATAGCCGATGCATCTTGCCTTGAGAGCTAACTTAAGATCATCATCTTGCAGAGGCTACACCAAAAACAGTCATGAGACTTATGGGCATTCCTGGACTAACACTGTATCACCTGAAAAGTCACCTACAGGTCCTGATCTATTGCTGGTTTCTTTTCCTTGTTTCTTCTCTTTGCTGTCATGGTTGAAGACTGTGTTGCTCTTGTGAAATTGTAGAAGTATAGGCTCAGTAAGAATCTCCAAGCTCAAGCAAACAGTGGAAGCACCAAGAGTGGTGAGTAGCAGCCTCCAACTTTGAATTCTGCAACTAGGAAAAAGATGCAAACAAAGACTTATTTATCTTGCAGTTATAGGTTGTACATTAGCAGCAGAGAGAACAATTGATGTCAATGGATCTTTCATGGTTAACACAAGTACCATGCCCCAATCAAACAAGTAAGACATAGACAGTGCACACTGTAATGATTTGAAGTATGATGAATCTGGACTGACAGGATGTTGTTAATTTCAGAAGTTTTCAGATAAATGAAGCACTTCAAATGCAAATTGAAGTCCAGAGGCAGCTACAAGAACATCTTGAGGTAAGTCTTAAATTACATATTATTGACACCTTGTCAGAATTCATGCACAGAAAAAAAATTCAACAATTACATAAACATAGTACAAACTCCTAAGTCAAGCATGCAGGCTGCAACTAAATTAGCTTTGATGAAATACTGTGTGTTTGTCCTAGTGTTAACACCATACAAGTAGCTTCTTTGTGGAAGCATGAAAGACACAAGAAACTGAGTTAAACTGAACTCATCCACCTTTGAGAGAAAGATTAGATGATGGTTATTGTAGCATTAATCTTGATAATTTTCAGAAACATTTAGAGGATTGCACACCAACAAATATAAAAATTGTAGATGATAGTGTCCTACATAGAATATTTTCTCGCATTGAGCTCTTTGCAGCAAGGTATGCAATACCATACTGTACCGGTGTTTCGAGGTTGGCTCGGTATGGTACGATACCGGTGTACCGAGCGGTACACCAGGGTGTACACCAGGACATATCGAGCGATACACCTTGGTGTACCGAATAATTTTATATATTTTCTTTCATACTGTAGCACTGTTACACTATAACACTTTAGCACTGCTACAGTATAATACTGTAGCACTGTAGCGATACCGGGAGGTCCACGTACCGGTATGTCATCGAACTGGTACATACCGTCCGTACCGGGCGGTACCATTCGGTACTGCATACCATGCTTTGCAGTAACTAAAAAATTCCTTACATGTAACTCTATTTATTATATCATCTTCTTCACATGATCATCAAAATTCCTTCTAATAAAAGAATTTCCCAATTAGAGTTATTTCTAAAAAAAATTTCATCTAAATTTTCTTTGAATTTACAAAAACATTTACATGATCCCACCGGGATATTTATACAAAATCTACTAAAGCTAAAAAAAAACAAAACTCAACATTTAGTTGATAATTGTAAAGCTAAAATAAACCTCAAAGATCAAGTTTCAGGAAAATGCTTGATTCCTTTTTCGTTCTGTTCAATCTCCTCTATTTTGTGTTTCCATGCGATGCTTAAAATTAACAAGTGTCATGAAAAATGGGTTTGTGAAAGGTTCAAAGGAATTTGCAACTCCAAATAGAGGCACAAGGAAAATACTTACAGTCAGTGCTGGAAAAGGCTCAAGAGACACTAGGGAAACAGAATTTAGGGTCTCCAGGAGTGGAAGATGCCAAAGTTCAGCTCTGTGAACTTGTTTCCAAAATCTCAAGTGAATGTTTCAGCAATGCATTTCAAGGATCAGAAGAAATACCTGGTCTGAACACTTCAGAGCTGCATCCATCTCAACCTGTTGATTGCTCAGTAGAAAGTTGCTTGACATCATTTGAAGGATCACAAAGTGCCTGTAAAAGCTTGAGAAGCTGCAATGGCAGCTTACCACTGTGCCAGCAACAAGTTCATGAGAATAGCAGGCTTGAAAACACTCAATCTGCATGGTGTTATTTGCATGAGCACAAGACTTTTTCCTCATCCAGCTTAGGAGATTCAGAAAGGACATCTTTCGCAGCCCAGAAGGACTTTGAGACACTTCCTACAAGCATTAAGACCCAAAATGAAGGAGGAACTGGTTCTGAGGCCCAGGGAAAGGAAAGTGATGATGAGAACATATCTGTTGAGCACCCAAACAGCAGTAGACCTGCAGATCAACAGGGGAGAGGCAAGCAATCAGATAGATTTGGGCTGCTTACTCACACAGCACAACTTGATCTCAATGCCCATGAAGACAATGAAGGTGGTACAAGTAGCAGATTTGACTTGAATGGCTTTAGCTGGAGCTGATTTGTGCCTAGAAGAGAAAGATCAAGGATATACCATTTATAATGTTGCAGTACTGAGGCATGTTGCACTATAATCATGTTGCAAAGGTGAGCACTTGCTTCCTTAACCAATCTATTTAACCAAAATAATTGATGGCTATAACACGAAGCTAATGAAAAAGGACAGTGCGCTGCAAGAAACTGAGGATGCATGTAAAATACAGCAGTATAAAGGAGAATCTCAATACCATGCCTTTGTAGCCAAACTAGCCATTCTAGCAAGTCAATTTCTTTGATATCCTTCACTGTGTGATACATGTCATTGATGGAATAGCTACCTGTATTGAACTATCATGTAGTTTTTGATGAACTATAAAAAGGAAAAAAAGAAAGGAACATCAGTTCTTAATGCATTATTGTATTCACCTGGATTTATGTTAGCAAAGCATCAATTAGATTGTGTGTGTGTGTGTGTGTGTGTGTGTGTGAGAGAGAGAGAGAGAGAGAGAGAGAGAGAGAGAGAGAGACCTAGTAGGATTAATTTCATGTCTGGTTATTACATGGCCAACAGATCAGATTGCAGCCTCAGATGGTAATACACATGAGAATGTCTTAGGTCCTCAAAAGGATCCAGAAAGTGTTTAGTATCATCTATCATGTTCTTCAGAGGAAAAGAAGAACCTCATCCAAAACAAACACAAAAAATTTACTTTCATTTTTACAACCACTACATGAGTTACTAATCTGGCATTAGAAATTCCCATTTCGTGCTTCCAACAGTTGGGAGTTGAGTTTTTATATAGTCTTGAAGAGAAATTCTTTCCTGATTTATCTCTGATAACAATTAATAGTGTGAACTGCTATTATGTTTAACCATTCATCTGGTTACTTGCGAATGGATTATGTGCAATTTCTGTTCTTACAAGCACAGGAAATATTCTGAAGGCTATGGAGGCACAGATGGCCATTGCAACATTCAATAAGAATTCGACATCCATGGATAAGTGAGAAATAAGAATCTACACCACAGTTGTCTGGTAAGTGTTATTCCTGAGAACTAAACAATTTGCCAACAATTTACCTCACTGTTCTGAAAACTTTAAATACACAGATATTCACTATGGTGAACAAGAAAAAAGTATCCAAAACACAAGGGTAGTAACAAAACTCAACTTTAATACACAAATTGAGATGTGTGGTTTCACTATCTTGTACAATACAATTTAACAAGGTATGTATGTAAAACAGATACACAGGACAGATGGATTACCCATCTATCCATCCTTTTGGATGGTTGACCAGTTACCAATCGGTGAAAAATTGGGTTCTCAGCTAAAAGAATGTAGTAGTATGCACAGGGAAAGAAGAGAAAACCAATGAAAATTTTGGAAGAACAAAATCCAATGGGTAGATCATCACTGGGGGTCTGAGAATGTGCTCATTGGAATTTCTAATATTGTGGATGCATTTAAATTCTGAAACTTCTCTAGTTCTCTTGCAATCTGCACATCACTAGGCAAGAAATACTCTGTCAAAGCCTTGGTTGCAAACCTAGGAACCATCCCTGCTACTATGATGCCAAGAAGGCATAGCCAGAATAATCCAGTCCCCATCATGTTAAAGATGGCCCTGCATGAAAATTGAGGCATCAGTAAATTGAGTCTACGCAAAGTTGTCTTCTATCTGCTACAATGAGCTCGTTTGTCTCAAGGCATTAAGATGCATGTAACCAATTCAAGAATTTGTGATCATCAACAAGATTTGAAACTACTAAAGAAAGATCAACAGGTTAGGGAAATAGGCTGTACCAGTAACCAGGTAGCATCCAAATGGAGTCTATGATGATGACACATATTACTGTTGCAGCAATGCAACCCCATACAGATGCATGTGTGATCCAGTTCCACCGAAACACATCCATGGCCAAGTGAATGTTCACTAGAATGACCACAGCAAGGATCCACAAGTCTCCTAGGCCGGATATATCAACATCGCTGTGTCTGTATGCAAGATAAGGGATGTAGAATATAGCAATGCTTTGCCAAATGCAATCCATCATAGTGAAGATGAACAACTTGAGGTTGTATCTTTCATCCCTCTGCCCTGCCCTGTAGAGCTGGGGGTACTTCAGCAATGTCTTCCTGCTAAGATCCTTGTCAAGGATTCCAACGATGATGGTTGGCAGTGCAGTGTAGATCACAGAATACAAGACACTGCTCCATTCGCTTATTGCGCTTGTCAAGCTATACGCAGTGTATAACACATACCTAGAGTTCAAAAACCATATGTTAAACATACAAATTAGCTGAACAAACAGATTGGGTGGAAGTATCGATGATGATGCTTACCAGAATAGGACGAAGACAAACACAGCATTCCTGTAGAAGTTGTACAAGATCATGTAGGCCATCCTTTGGTAATTCCAATGTCCATGGACCAACAAGAGGGGCACCAAGAACCTGAACTGTCCCATAGCAAAATCTGAGGCCATGACAGCTTGCCTTCCCTCTTGGCCACTTATGCCAATCCCAACATCAGCCATTTGGATCATTGAGACATCATTTGCACCTGGAATCATACACAAGATTAGCACACAACAAGGAATTGATATCTTCTATAAGTTTGAAGTGAATTCTCAAGTTAGCTACATTACCATCGCCAATTGCAAGGGTCATGTCATCCGTTCGGTTCTTTATGAGAGCAACAATTCCAGCCTTCTGCAATGGAGCCACACGGCAGCACAACACAACATCACATGTCGTGGCCACTTTGAATAGCTGTTCCAGCAAGAACAACATGCAGAACCACATCAATCCTAAGACCAATACATCAAGGAATCAATTTAAGTGCATCAGTAGATTCTTACCTCTTCTTCCAGTTCTGTCTCCAAAATGTAGACAAGGCTGGTGCCATCAATGATCAAAGCCAGAGGAGACTTTGCAGATCCTGCACCTGCTAGTCTGCTGGACATGGAAGCTGCATCTTGCAGTCTCCTTTTACAGGATTCCCTGGAGTTGCTATTGATCACAATCTGAGTCATTTCACTTGTTAGAAGCTTGCAAGAATAGCCAATGGAGATGGCAGTTTCTTGCTTATCCCCTGTCAACACCCAAACCTTGATGCCAGCTTGCCTCATGGATTCTATGGCTTCTGGTACACCTTGTTGGAGCTTATCTTCAATCCCAGAGGCACCCAAGATGTGAAGATCTCTTTCAGCATTTGATGCGATAGCTTTTAGCAACTTCCCCCTGCCGATCAAAGCTGTAGTTGCATTCTCATATGCAGACTGCCACTTCTTGAACTCGTGTTCACTTAATTCACGCATGCCAACCACCAATGTCCTCAGACCCAAAGATGAATAGGAATGGAGATTTGTTTTGGTTGTATGAATGATGTCCAAATCTAGGTTCTTTTGTACAACTCCAAACATTGAATTGTCTGCACCTTTCACAAATAGCTTCACTGTTCTATCAGGACAGCCAATTATCACTGACATCCTCTTTCGATCGCTATCGAATTCATGAAGGCCCAAAACATCAAATCTGCATTTCCAGTATTGCAAGTTAAGATACTTATACAAAAAGAAATTATGAATTACTGGTACTCAGAAGCAAGGTTCGCAATACTGTACCGTACCGGAGTTTCGACCTGGGCTCGGTACCGGTACGGTACGGTATACCGCTCGGTACACCCAGGTGTACCGAGCGGTATATTCAGACCGGTAACAGGCGGTCCGGTAACAGGCGGTCCGCGTACCGGAAGCCTGTCGGACCGGTACGTACCGCCCATACCGGGCGGTACGGACCGGTACTGCAAACCATGCTCAGAAGACTGTGTTTTGCAAACTGCAGTTAATGCTGAGAACAATTCTTCAAGTAGGTTTGAGGTCTTCCTATTACTTGTAGAAGTGATACTATCAATTAGATTTAAATCTAAAGCAATTGGGACACAAATCTTAGAAGAAAAGATGCTAAAGTCAACAAGACTTTGGAGTTGTGCACTTTCAAGTCAGCTTCAGGTTTTTGGAAAAAAACTGATCACCCAACTTCTTTGGCAATCACTTCAAAGTGAAATATAATTTCCGATAAGATGAGGGGGACTCATGGCAACGTGAAAACAGAGTAGAAAATTAAGATAAAAAATGTTAAAACGTTATTTGAGCATCTACTTATCATAATACTATAAGGACATATTTAAGCCAATAGTTAAATAGATCCAGCAAAGAAGTTTAATTGGATCCATGTGGACATCCCATCCACTGATAAACTTGAGAGAGAAGCAAGCAAATGAAGGTAGACCAAGTCAAGTCTTTGCCAGATATGAATATTGTGCTGGCTCCAGTTCTGATTGATTGGAATTATGTGGCGGTGGTACTGTTGATGAAACCAATCACCAAGCAAGGGGACACCAATAACAACTAAACACTGGATAAGATTTTCTTTCTTCTCCATTTGTTCTTGGTCATCTCCTCAGAGATTGAGCATATGATAAGGTTGAAGGAGTGGGAACATAATCTTTCTCTGACAAAGCGGGGAAAGCTTTTAACCAAATTATACTTCAGATTGCATATCGAAGTAACAGACCAAAATGGGTCAGTTGCAAAGTAGATCAACCAATTCAATCCCTGTTCTTCTTGCTGATGTTGTTCCCACCATGGCAAAGCCAGGAAGAAGAAAAGAGGGACAGAAGAGGATATTAACATCCAGCCACTACGAACCCTAAGCTTAAAGCTTGTTGACAACAAGGCATCTAAAAAGACCCAATTTTGATTCAGGAATCACAGCACAATGATAGAACAAATGGTAGAAGAAGGAAGCAAATAATTGGAAGGAGCATGAAGAGTAGCAGTACCTCTGTCTTTCACCGAGCACATCGATGAGGATATGCCCGGAGGTGCGCTGCATAAGCACGAAACCATAAGCAGCAGCAGCATAGACCAAGGCCTGCTCGTCGGGCGACTCGCCCTGGTAGTCGATGAGCTTGAGCGATGGCTCCGGCGTGTCGACCAGTATGGGCACGATGGTGTTGCAGGTCGCTAGCGCAAGGAAGAAATCACGAGCACGATTGGCCTTCTCGATTCCTTCCCCGCCCATCAACGCATTCATCAGCTCCGGATCGGTCTTCACGCTCATCTTCGGTCTCCAGATCTCCCCGTCCACTGCGATGAACGATCATCAGAAACAATTCTGATGCATATGGGCGAGGAAGAAGAAGTAAGCATCGCATCATTATTACCTGTAATCGAGTGTCCGTCTTCCTCACCATCACTTGCGGCGCTGTAGTCCACCCCGCCAACGCTGGCGCACCGGAACTCCATTTTGTTCTCCGTGAGTGTCCCCGTCTTGTCGGAGAACACATACTTGATCTGCCCGAGGTCCTCGTTGATGTTGAGCGCCCTGCACTGGAACCTCGTCTTGCTCCCCTCGTCGAACATGTTCTTGTCCTGGATCATGAAGAAGGCCTGCCCCAGCCTCACCAGCTCCATCGATATGTAGAGCGCAATCGGAATCATCACCTGGAATATGATCACTGACTTGAGGAAACTGAACACCGTCTCCCACCCCACCCCGTAGTAGTTGTAGGTGTCCGTCTTCGGGCCCGAGTAGTCCTCCTTCCGGTAGTACAGTAGGTCGTTGAGCTCGTGGTGGTGGTTGGCGAGCCACACGCCGGCGAGCACCGTGACGATGGAGCATAGAGATACCAGTGCCACGGCCAGCAGGATTACCTCCCGGTTCATGTGCGCCTCGAGGCGGCTCCGCTTCGACGGCGCGCCGGAGCTGTTCAGCATCACCTTCGTGTCCTTCCCGGTGTACACTGCGACGCCGACGACCCAGCTCGTGTTCTTCAGCTCGCACCCCCGGAGGATGATGTTGGACGGGCCGAGTGAGACCCGCTTTTCGCCCGGCACGTCAGCGCTGGCGAGGAAACCGTAGATGTTGCGGTTCGGCTTCTCGCAGCGGATCAGGGCAGCGGTCGACTCCGGCGGTGTTGACTGCGTCTCCTGCTTCGCGTACCGGGTCTTGAGATTGGATTCGCCGTCCAGGTTGATGGTCTGCACGTAGGCCACGCCGGTGGGATCGCTGGTGGCGAGCAGGACCATGTCGCAGGGGAGCGTCTCGTCGGCGGTGACCTTGACGACCTCCCCGACGAGGATGTCCTTCCACCGCTTGGGCCGGAACTCGCCGCCGGGCGCCAGGACCTGGGCGGTCCGGTTATTCTCATCCCGGTCGGAGCGATGCCGCCGCCAGTCCTCGTACCCGTCCTTGACCGCGGTGACGCCGAGCACGAAGGCAAGCGGCAGGATGGAAGCTGCCGGGGTGAACACGCCGAGCTGCGGGACCTGGTTAAGCCCCGCGAGGATGAGGAAGTAGACGTAGGCGACGCGGTGGAACTGCTCGAATAGGTTGCGGGGCAAGAAGGTGAGGACAGAGTACTTGGTGGTCCTGATCGAGTTGTCGGCGAACTTGATGGGCTGGTTGGTCCTCCCGGGGTCGTTGACGTACACGAACCGGGCGTCATCGTCGCTGATCTCCCTCTGCGATCCGAGCTTCTCGGAGTCGGAGCGCTTGGAGGGGAAAGAAGCGACGGGCTTCGACGTCGAACGCTCGAAGGAGACAGCGGAATTCGAACTGGACGACGGAATCCTTTCGGCACGATGCCACGACGACGAGCTCCTCGAGCGTGAGGCAGCCTTCGGTAGCACGTCGGGATCGTCATCCGGCGGCGCCGACGGGTTCAAGGAGGGCCTGTTGGCAGCCATGAAAGAGAAGAAGAGAAGCTTCAGGAGTTACAGAGGGGCAGAATCCATGGATTTAGATGGCAGATCAGAAGAGCCGAATGGTCCGAGCAGGCCATCTAGAAGACCAGGAGGCTGTCAAATATGATGCACGGCTATGACCGAGGAGATGAGGTATGACTTTGGCATCCAGAAGCCATCTACAAGGTCAGGAGTCAAGCATCCGAGTCCAACATGGCTTCTTCTCCAAGCTCCTAACCAAGACCTTCTCCATCGAATTCACTGTGGAGACTTTCTTGCATCCTTACGCCATTTTTCCTCCGTTCAGACTGCAGCTTCCCTTCTGCTCCCATCTCATCATCGCCTCAAGTCTCTGCTTCCGTCAGCACCATCAGAACCTTCGGTAGAAATTGCACCCTCTCCGATTCCGTAAGTCGAGGGATGTTACCTTGAACTCTGCTTGGCAGCAGCGGCAAGTGACTCCAGAACCATTCTCAGGGTTGAGGTGGATATCCACAGGACATCACCGCGGCAAATTACCACCCTCGTTGAATCGTGTTGTCTCTCGAGCCAGATGTCGAGGTCAACACGATCAGGTCCGAGTCGCTTGGTTGACCTGATCCGAGAGAACGACGCCGCCAAGCTCGACTGAGGAGGCGATGCTCAAGTGAATCCTGACCATTCCATCGGATCATGCACATGGACAGTTCATTTCGGGAGAATGATAGATGATCATTCACGTGATTAAGACCTCTCCACAGACCGCGAGACCTGTCATTCCCAGAGGAAGAATAGTTCAGAGAAGGCATGGAAACAGTAGAGATTAATGGACATGAGAGATCCTTGCTCTAACCTGAACAGTAGAGATTAATGGAAGGAGAAGAGCTATGAAAGCAGCAGCTTGATGTTGTTGAGGGGCGATGTCAAGCAAGATGATGAAGCTCCACCATCATTGGGGATGCCAATGAATCACAAGCATAACAAAGACATCTCACATTTGTAAGTCTCATATTTTCATATTACAAGAGAAAATTCATTCAAGCTATACACTTTCATATTTTCTTAAAAATGGTTCTATATATATATATATATGAAGCTGAAGTGTATGCATAGAAAGGAGAAAACACACATCAAACAAACAGACATATTTATTAATAAAAAAAAACTATATTAAAAAAAAAAACTCAAGATGATGATGAAATATTTGTCACCTTTCGAGAGTCAATCTGGACCATAATCTTGGAACTTCTGACTATTTATGTCATACCTATACAAATTAGAGATGTCAATAATGTGATGAAAAATTATAGCCCAAGTGGTGGGTTAGGTCATGATTGAGCACAGTGAGCAATCTTTTGTTGCATGGTGAGATAAAATATTGCTTGGTTCTGGGCATTCCACATCCTCTCCAAAGCAATTATGATGGATATTAGAAGTTAATCCAATGTTTCCCTCCACAATCAAAAAGTCTTGTATAGTTGAAACAGGCTATTACTACTCAAGGCCAGTGATAGTGAACCTGATGCCCCACTTCATCACACATGAGTCCCTGCAACAGAGCAATTTAGTGTGGCAAAGAATGGCAGGGAGGCTGGGTGAGGAAGGTCAGGTGAACTTGTATTCCTGGATACAGAGGAGTGATGGAAAAGTAGAGGAACAGTGGCAGCTAAACTTACAAGTAATAAGCAGCAGAAGATACAAATGTTTGCTGACTTTGCACTGCTAGCATTTATTAGTACTATCTTGAGTTTGACCTACTGTTTAGCTCTGTATAACTTTGAGGTAGAGTTGACTAAAGTTTCTACAAATGTAAATCTAGAGTAAAGAAAGTAACTGGTGGATTCTTTCCTAAAGTAACTGGCAGGCTTATACTATTTCTCCATTTTTCTCCATAAATATTCTATCTTCATGGAACTAATTTGCTTGGTTACATACCATGTTGCTTTCCTTCATTACTTTGAACTGTAGTTGGTGCACTCCATGCTCCAAATGACTTGGATCCCTCTCTTCCTGAGTTCCATGTTTTATACTGCAATAGCTAGTTTGTCAATCATGAACATTGTTTTCCATTGCTTCTGCTCCATAACTGCGAGGTTCCAGAACAGCAGAAGAAAAGGTCTTCATTTGAATAACCCTAAATAAAACCAACCAATGTAATGATGTAAGCATTCATTAAACAATATAAAGGCCACAGAAGTTAGAGAGAGGAAGAAAGGTTGCATAACGACTCACATGGCTAAACATGGAAAGATGGAAGCAGTTCCAAGAAAGAAATGTATATATTATCTACATCAAACAGGCACTCATTTCTCCTTGCAATCTTCCACCATTTTTTGTGAGGCCTTAACATGAACGAAAAGTATATTTATTGTCTCACGAACTTGGGTTTTGGACTCAACATCAGCCTCTCAGCTTCCATTCTGGACTCATTCAAGCTCTGACAGTCTCAATGCACACAGGTAACTGCAGGACCTCAAAGTGGGTTTCTCAAATCATGGCATTTGGGCCATTGTCAAAAACAACATTGCATCCACACCCTAGATAATTTTGCATCTGTATTTCCACATATATACATTCTAGATAACACTTGTAATCTCAACCTTGAAGAAGGACACAGTGTTGGGCCTATGATGAAAGGTATTGAATAGTCAAAACAAAAACCACCAGTCCTATCCATTGGAGTCCAAGTTATCTGGCTTACTTCTATTGTGAAGACTTCAATGATGTTCCATAAGAGAGAGCTAGTTCTGCATTTAACTATTGGTGGTAATGGATTGATACCAAGAGCAGGAATCTTGAGTCCAAAAATTGAGAGCATATGTGATAGTTTCTTGATTCAGAGGCACCTTCAGCCCTTGCAGTACAGCAGCATGTAAACATCCCACGTAGGGTCCAGAATTGATGTTGGAGGATAGCAACAGAATATTTGTTGATAATAGAGGAATATAAAAGAGAGGAATAGAATATAATAATTAAAAGATAATAGGAAAATAAATATATAACTACCAAACTCGCTCTTGCTCAAGGAAAATACTTCTAGAATGAAGATCTTGTACCTTCGCACATCTCGTGGATGATGGAATCATACCATCGGAAAATAAATGTGGCCTTGCCCCACTCACATTCAAAGTGGAAAAAGAACACATTTCATTGATCTATTTCTGATTTAAATGCATTATAATATTCTAACTCATAAAAATAGGTAAAATATTACAATTGAATCAAACCAAATATATGATTTGATCTCTCTTCAAAGAAAATAATATTCTTGATTGATATGCTTTCATCCTCGTTGAGACTAATCCTCACAAAATCTTCCATTATAATTTAAAATCTTCAATCACAATCATAATTTAATTTTTTTTATTTATTTTATATATTTTTTTTTCCGCCTTGAGTAGATGTTGTCATGTGACAACTCATGACAAATGCAAATATCTTAAAACTAATAAAATTCATTTAAATAACATATAAATTAAATTATCCTTGCATAAAAAATTCTTGACTAGGAATCTCCCATAGTGACAAAGTCAATGAAGAGCATTGCAATCACTACTAACATCAATAACACTCCCAATTTTACAATCTTGTAAAGATATGACTAATTGTAGTACCAAAAACATATGCTTGATTTCTTTTCTTTTATTTTTGCTATACTATATATTCAAACAATTCCTATAAAGGTATCATTGGTCTCCAAGCACCATAAAATAATAGATATCAATAATAATAACATGGGGAAGGATATAAGGATATAGTACAAATAAGATCAAGAATACTCTTGATACATATTGGTAGATATTTACTGATACAACTAAATACTAATAATAAAATATAAAATTTGATATTGGGATGATATCATCAATTGTAACTTTTCGTTATTTTAATCAATGATATTGGATGTCAGTGTACTATCCAATATACCAAAACTAAAATTATACACCCAATAGATTACTAAATTCATTATCTGACCAGTATTTAAATTCTTGGAAAACAACTGTTACTTCACTAACCTTCCTAAAATTTAGCTCAACTACTTACTACATTAAACTAATTTGACCTGGCCAAAAGGACAGTTCAATAGCCCAATAGTTACACAAATAATGGGCTATAACAGAAAACATCATCAATTCGTTAATCAAATCATTACGGAGAACCAATTGGAGCCTTCAAAATGGTGGTGATGCTGCCTATTTGCTTGAGACTTCAATGGACTACAAAAGAACTGGTTGGGAAAGCAGGATTCTAAAATACTGTGACAACTCTAAGGTCATGTGTTGGGCGAGGGGTACAAAGAAGAAAAACTGGATTAGGTTAAGATATATCCACAATTTAATTATATACAACAATGCACTGTATGATGAAAGGTAATCTCATAATTAGCAAGGATCACAGAATTTTTAAGTTGAGAACCATAAAGTATGCAGCAAAGATGGCAGCAATCACAACCCTCACTAATTAGATAAACCTGACTTAAGCAATACTTAATTTCTATACAGAGGAGTTCTTTAGGATCTCAGATTATATATGGGATACCAATTTTTCACATGTTCATTCCACCACAGGGTCACAGACCTTGTGAAGTTGTGACTTTGAAAGATACAAGTAGTATTTTTTATTATCGAAGATCAATACTGCTACAGTAATATCTAAGCCATCTAAACTAGAGAAAATTGTTGTTTGCCAATACAGCATAAATTTCCAAAGTATACAAGGAAAAATCATTGAGATCAATCAGATAATTAACAGGTTAAATAATTACTCACGAGACAATATACCTTAAGACAATTCAATCGACTCACCTTTTGGATGCAGTCAACATATGTGCCCATGGACGTAGGAGTAACTGGACCTGCTAACATGGATTTATTAGTGCTCCTGCAATAGCAGATACCTAGAATAAAAAATGAAATCTTTTACCTCTTAGGAGAGTGTGCGCGCATGAGTGCATGCTAGCATGCCTTCTTTTTCTTTTCTGAGGAACGAGGGAAAAGTGCTAGGAATTTGTTCCATCAGCTGCCCCCTCATTGCTTTCAGGTCTGATAATATGATTCTTTCAATTATTGTCACATGGAAAGTCTCCTTCCAAGTCACAAGATTTGATGTCTGTTGTCCATAACTCAACTTTACTGCTAAGCAACAAAAGCTTCACTTTTCATCAAAGGATAAAAAGCTTCTCTTGACTGTGAAGAAGACAGATCCCTACTTCACAAATCTTCCCTATAACTCCATCTTATTGTCCTGAAAAGGATAAAGCTCCAAGGGAGAAGAACCTGTTCAAGTACAGTCAAGATTCTGAACCCCTCAACACTGCAATCCAATTGGCTTCATGAATTACCTGTCAGATTTTAGCACACAAAACAGGGTCCAAAAACATGCAGATGTCATTCCACATGGGCATTTGTATTTATTCTACAAATCAATGACAATCATGATATCAGTTTGATGAGAAATATAAACGGGCAAAGTCTTGATCACCCAGGTCATAAAGGAGCAACCATACCTGCTACTACAACACCAAAGTCGCCCCTCAATCTAATAAGAAACATTTGACTGAACAATCTTTTAATTTTTTCTGTTAAAACCATAAGACCAGTGAAGTACATGACACAAGTCTACGTAACAACTATTATTTTATACCAAAAATTTTATGTTAGATGTTTATTTGTGAAATGCCATTTGTATAAGTGTGTATCTTAAATTATTCAGAGAAAAATTACAAGTTCATTTATTTGGGTTAGTGCTGTCATTAAATCCTCACACAGAATAACTTCTTCCTCATTCTTGGCTGTTCCTCGGGTAAATTTAATTGGTAATAAATGGGTAACAAATGCACCACATCTGACCTTCTGCCAAAATATAATGCTACCAGAATTCTATTGTCATATTCTGAAGGAAGAGACATCTCCTTGGAGTTTGATTGTAGCCCCTTACCTCAAGTGGGCCCTTCAACTTGTTGAGCCTCAGAAGTCACGGGTTAGATCTGGTAGTGAGGGGTCCATCCCTTTACCTTACTTGAATGATGTCCTGTAAAGAAAGGACAGACATCAAGACAAAGAAACACTGCATTGTAAGCACTGAGAAGCCATATCTTGAGGTATAACATGCTTTAGATTCATCAATCAGATCCCTTTCAGTATATCTGAACATGATCCTAAAGCTAAAAACAAAAAACCTACTGTATCTGCACATGTTTATGAATGCTGTAGACCAAACAGAACCATGTATTTAGATGGCCAACTCAAAAGAAGAAGATGACTATTTCAAATTGGAATGTTATGATTGTGATGTAACAGGATTCAGGGGCTGGAAGGCAATTTTCTTATCCGGCTTTTGAGAGGCTGGTGAGATGGCAGGTGTACAGTTTTAAAATCAATTCTAAGAAACTTATGAAAACAAGCATGACCTGATTATTCAAACATTAAATACCAGAAAGTTTGGTAAACTAAAATATAGCCATCACAATGAGAACGATTTCAGCTGCCCAAGACATTATTAAAATAAATGTCATATGAATGCCCCTAGTCATAATCGCCTTTATTTTATTTTATTTTATTGGGACACGCTTCTCTCTCTCTCTCTCTCTCTCTCTCTCTCTCTCTCTCTCTCTATACAATTTAAATGCTTCCTCTGATAATTTGATGGACCTTTAAGATTCCACATAACAAATTATTCTTCTTCAGGCCTATATCATGAGCTGATTCTTTGGCTTTCTCACATGATTTTGCAAATTCCTTCTATCATCATACCTACTCTGCCTACTCATGGAGCTGCTTCTATTGCAATTTCACAAAGTGGATTCTAGAGAATTACTTGAAGAAATTTGTTAAGAGCAAAAGTTTCAGTAGGTCGCAGGCCCCCGTCCTGTGTCCCTGATGTCACTTTCTGATTGAAATGGGAGTCAGTAAAACTTGAGTTTTACCATTTAATCTCTTAAATATTCCAACTTCCTTCTCATTAATGATCTCCAGACCTATCTTTTGTTTCTTATTAAGTTTTTGTACAAGGTCAAGTGGTCAACTACGTGTCTCAGTTTTCTTCTTTGCTTTCAAGGATTTGTCTCATTCAAAACTTTGACTGGGGAAAAAGAATGAAAATGAACCAGTTAGGATGCCCTTAGAGTAGGAACTGTCTCTTTCTTCTTGGTAAGACAGCAACATTCTTGGAATTCATCAGGATGTAGCTTGCAAAAGAACATATATTGCAGATGGAGCTCTTCAGAGGTAGTTGGCATCTCCACCTTTTTCTCTCAAATTTTCCCTATATTATGTATAGATGATATCCATCTTAGTTCATGTAGACAAAGTTCAGAAATTATGTGATTCCTTCTCTGCTAGCAGTTCTACTCTTTCTCTAATTGGTTCCTTAGAGGATCCAACTTTCTTTTCTTTCATTTCTCACTTCTGCCATTCTTTGTGTGTTTCCTACATATTTTTTTCAACAACAATCTTTCCTCTGGTAATTCAGTATGTAAAAGCAGCATTCAGAAGACTACTGTAGTGTTTTCAGTGATCCTGAAACATATCCAAAAAGAGCAACCTGAGGAAGCTGATTCCATGAAATGTCTAATGGGAATCAAGGATAAAAAAAGCTATTCATCGTATCATAAATTGTTCTTAGTGGAGTAAAATGGATGAACCTGAAGGTGTAGAGCCAAGTAAATCCTTTCGACACCTGCCTGACTCCATATGTTCACTTGTTGGAACTAACCCCAATCTTACTGCGAGTTAGTTTGATTCAGTTTGCTGCATAATCAAGGACCTGCAATCGAGCAATTTAAAAGGTGATCTGCAGGTAAAGAGCAAAATGTTTGAAAAGATGAATCGAGACTGTGATGAATCCAACAATAATCTTTGTGTTTCAAAGATTCAAGGTAAAATCACATTTATCTTTCTTTCCTGAACTGTAAAATTGATGTGCTGCCTTTGTCTGATAGGATTCTCGCCTTAATTCTCATTTTCTTCTGCAAATAGATGCATTAGCTTCTCTTACTGTCCAACTGAAAGAGTTATCCATACGGAGGAGACAAGCACTAAATGATTTTCTTGTTCTAAAAGGTAGCAGCACTGATCCTGGACTGAAATCTTTCACTCCTAGCTCATCCTTTTCTGAAAGGCATATCTCAATAAATCTTGCAAGTATAAAACTAAAAGGAGGCTGAACAATTGATAGAACTGACTCATATTTTTCTTGTTATACAGGGAATATTCGAGTATTTTGCCGTGTAAGGCCTTTCCTCCCTGATGAGATTTGTGGATATGCAAGACGAGTGCTCACTTCAGATACAACTAAGTTGTTCCTAAGAATTGCTGATGATAAGAACAAGCAATACAGTTTCGACAAGGTTTTTCATCCACAATCAACACAAGGTAAAGTCAACAATATTACAGTCTAAGTTCTGAAAATATATTAATATATTATCATGATTTCAGAAAAATAATGTGCATTCTCAAAATATTTCAGAAGAAGTGTTTTCTGAGATTGAACCTGTGATCAAATCTGCCTTGGATGGCTATAATGTCTGCATCTTTGCTTATGGGCAAACTGGAACTGGTAAAACTTATAGCATGGTAAGAGTTCTTGGTTTAGACAAATTATTTATCATGTATTGGATTAGACAAAATACGGTCAACCAATGGACAAATTATCAAGGTTTGACCAACTTATAATTTGTATCTAGGAAGGTGTTCCGAGCAATCTTGGTCTTGTGCCTCGTGGGATTCGGGCAATATTTGAACAAGCATTAGAAAGCAATTATACATTCCAGTTCACCTTCAGCATGCTTGAGATCTACATGGGCACTCTAAGAGATCTACTTGTTCCACAAAGCACAAAGCAAAGGGTTCATAAAGCATGGTGAGAACAAAAACTATCTGGATACATTATCAAGACATTTATATATCAAAGACCATTAATTATGATGTAGAAACTTTGGGAACCCATTAGTGAGGCAAATTACTGTAGCTATAATTCTGTATGCTAAGCCATAAAGTAGAAAAAGACAAACAATTTTTTATTCTTATAGGAATAGGCAAACAAAATCCTATTACAGAACATAATTTGCAAGAATTAAATTACCTTCTCATTGTAAGTCTTGTAAAAATTAGAAATAGAGATGTAGATACTGTCTTGCATTGTCTGATTTGATAGGTCATGAAAAGTGGAAATTGCTTGATGATATCAAAATGACACAATGGAAGTAAAACAGAATAACATTTGAACAAGTTATGATTCATCACACTAACTCATGTATCTTAGGATACATGTCCTTGTCTTAGGATACATCTCCTTTCATATGGAACTTAAAGAAATATATTTGGTCGATACCTCTATCACAACACCTTCTCTGCCCATGACTTTCCCAATACCCATTTGTCCAACTATTAAATCTAAATAGCTAACAAAGATTTAGAAAGACTTTCAGCCTTTTTTTTTTTTTTTTTGCAAATTTACTACACTGCATTATCACCATATTTGATACAATTAAATTCCCTAAACGGCTCTATTCTTCATCAACTTGACTAATCCCTCAGCCAAAGATGCACAACTAATCTATTAGACTTGAAAGGCAACATTTAGTGCCTATGCTAGATTTGTGGAGATTTTTGTTTGACCACTAATAATGCTTTATGGATCTGAGTGTTAAGAAACAATATATACAAAAAGTTTATGTTATCGAGATGAGAATATTAAGATAGATGTATGGAGTTACTAGGAAAGATAGGAAAAGAATTACTTTTATTCATGAACAACTAGGTATCACTTCGATAGAGGATAAGATAAGAGAAAATCATTTAAAATGATATGGATATATGCTCAAGAGACCTCCAGATATGGTAATCAGAAAATGTTAAATAATTGATGTTAGTAGTATGAGGAGAGATAGAGGAAGATCTAAAAAGATTTTAATAGAAATAATAAATAAAAATTTAAGTACTCTGAATTTAACATATGACTTACAGATCTCAATGGCAAGAAAAAAATCCATGTAGCCGACCTTATATGTTGAGACTTACGGCTTTGTCGTTGTTGTCATGTTTGACCTACAATTCTATTGCAGAGAAAAAGAGTAATTTACAGTTTACAATTAAACCAAAATCATAGACAAGAGCCAAATCCATCATCAACCGATTTAAAGAACTATACTAAATTTGTTATGCTTTTATTTGAAAATTTTAGCTAACAAAATGCTAATCATTAATCATTATCTACAGCCTTTCAATTCAAATGAACTCACTTGGAGGCATTGAGATAGAGAACCTTGTATCTATCAAAGTGAGCAACTTTGAGCAAGTTAAAAGACTATACAACCTTGGAAGCCGATCCAGGTCAACAGCTTCCACAAAGTCCAATTTGAAGTCAAGCAGATCTCACTGGTATTTATTTCATACCTACAGTGATGACAACCTTTGGATGAAAAGAACCATCTTTGGACCATAAACAGTTCTTGTGCAGGACAGCCTTACTTGCATATCACTAACTTGTTCTGCTGCACCTGAGAGACAAAAGGAAACAAATAAGATATGGATGGTCGATCTAGGTGGAAGTGAGCGGCTGTTAAAGACACAAGCAACAGGAAGAAGGCTGGAAGAGGGGAAGGCAATTAACTTGTCACTGTCAGCTCTTGGTGATGTCATCAGTGCACTCCAGCATAAGAAGAACCATGTTCCATACAGGTATGTATTATAAGAATATCAACTGTACTCTTGAACAACAGTTCCTTGTATGAAAACATTTACACTAATCATATCTTTCCCGTGTCGCTCGCTGATTTTCTCATGTCATTCGAGTTGTGAGCTTGTCCACCAGTTTGTTCACAACATAATTCATTCATGATCTGAGATGTTTCAGTTGACTTTCTGAAATTCACTCAGAATCAGATAAGTTGGGGCATTTCAATTAAATATTTGTTCTATGATACTACCAACTTAATATATATTATGATTGCAGTTCCTATGAAATATCTTCTTTTTTTGTGATGTTTGAATAAATTTTGAATTTTAGTTCTTCATTTTGACAGGAACAGCAAGCTTACACAAGTTCTCAGAGATTCACTAGGTAAGCTTCACAGTTTCTCTCATTAAAGAAACCATGGTTAAATATTTCTCGATTTACCATAATTTAGAGCCAACAATTTTGCCAAGATTATTTCAATTTACCATGAGTAAGAGCCAATAATTTTGCTAAGTTTTGCACTTGTAATTACAGGATCAGACTCAAAGACGTTGATGTTTGTCCATGTAAGCCCCAAAGAAGAAGATTTATGTGAGACAATTTGTTCTTTGGGTTTTGCTACACGAGTGAGAAGTATCCACCTAGAAAGTGAAAAATCACCAGTAAGTTTATATACACACACTGATATATATATATACACACACACACACACACACACACACACACACAAAACATAGTATATCTCTAGTAAATATCTTATTCATTGTACAGGTGATTAGTTCAAATCAAAATAATTCCCTAGTATGCACAGCATTTAATTCTTTGGTGCAAAAACTTATGATTTCTGATGTTCTACATTCTGTTGCAAGCTCATACAAATCTAATATTCCAATACGTGTGCCACCAGCAAGCAAGCCTAATACATTGACATACAAATTATTGAGCTTTTCCTGTTCCAATTAAAAATGCTTTTTTCCTATTGACTATTTCTGCTTTTCTTACTTCAGAAGCTTACTTTTGTCTTGGAAATAGGAACTGCAAGCTAAGAAGGAAGTTGAAATGGCTAAGCTGCAACAAACAATAACAGAACTAGAAAGTGAACAAAAAGATGTGCAAAGAGAAACTGGGAGGCTCAATGAGAGACTAACACTTCTAACGGGATTCGATCAATCGAATGATGTGCATGCAAAAGGTTCACTGACAGTGACTGGAGATCTTCACTTTAATGGGGAAGTTGATTTGCATAATGCCAAGGGTTTCAAAAGAACATCTCCAAGCTTGCCCAGGTTCATGAAACCAACAATTTGCAGTAAACAAAAGACTGGTTCAGTTCACCTTTCTTCTACAGGTACAAGAAAGAAATCAGCAATTCCTTCAAATATGAAAAGGTCTGCATCTGTCTATGCTGAATCCATAACTTCTCAAGCAAAGGATACTGCTTGTCTGTCTGACTACGGTTCAGATTTTAGCATGTCCACCGGCTATGCAATTCAGGGACATGGTGCAGATGATGATACTGAATGTAGTCAAGGCACTTCAGAATATGAGATTAAACAAGTAATTTTCCCGGAACAGGAGAAATCCCCAAGAAGTTCAATGACTTCTCTTCATGATGGATGCTTCAACAATGGAAGTTTGAAGGTCAAAGAAATTAATAAAAATAAGCATTTCACTGAAGATTGGCTTCATCTACAAACAACAGGTCAAACTCGAACACATAATGTTGGTGGTAAACGCATATTTGCTATTCCGGTTGACAAGAGAAATATCATGTGCAAGCAACAGAACAGAGTAATATACTGTAACCAGGCAGAGATCCAAAATTTTAGAAAGAGAAATTCAGGGACCACAAAGAAGACAAATCTTAATGGTGTAGATTCTCTAAAAAGCATTGTATTAGATGAAGCAAGAAGATTCATTGTTTGTTCACTGACTGACATGGAAGATACACAGCTTGATCAGAACCAAGATCATGATCAAGTAGCTGCAGAAAGAACAGGTGGTCAAGTACAAGAAGATTTGACTGTAGTTACTGTACTAACAGAAACACCTGGATTCAGAGAAAACCCCATTTCAGTGGACAGCTACAGTGAAGATTGTTCAAGGCCAGAACAACAGGAGAACAAAGAGGAATCTTGCATGCTTTTTAGAACACCTAGGAGATCACTATTTGCAACTCATTCATTACAACCAGACCAACATACTGACTTGAAAGAGTCCATGATACATATTACCAGTTGCCATGATGAAGAACACGGTAAGCTTCTGTCCAGTCAGTTAAGCTATTTCTGAAATGGAATTGGTTCGGTAGGTTCTAGGTTAATATCCTTGTGTAGTGGTGTCCAAGGATTTAAACAGGTAATTCTCTAGATAGGGTTTAGCACCTACATTATCCTCACCAAAAAAAGAAAATCCAACAACAGAATCAGACAGGCTGAATGCTTAAAAGAGGCACAAGTCCAGCAAATGAGATTACAACAATTAATAAGCATGCATCAAACATATTTTTGTTAGTTACTAGATTCATAATCCATATTTGTTAGTTAAAAATAGAATCTCCTCAAGCAAAGATGATATCTTTGAACCAAACAACAGTTTAAAATACTTTTGCACTAAAATCTCACAACAACTTAATATCAACACCCGAAATTATAAGGAGTATTACACCTATTGCAGCTATGGTTTCACAGCTAGCAGCTAAAGGAAAAAGGGGGAAATTTTGCAGTAAACTCATCACCTCCACTTTCACAGAATCTTCCTCTAAGATTCTAACTCATTTCAAGATCATAGGTGACAAAGTAAGAAATCTGAATAAAAACTTAATGCAAGATGGCATGCAATATTCAATAATGATCTTTGCCCAAAAAATATGGATTCTTTCCAATTTAGAAGTAGAACCTAAATCACTTATCCTGAAAAATTGGCAATAAAATATTGACCTTTTTACCATAGCACCTTTAAGACTGTACCTTGTACTTCATCTGATCAGATTCTAGAGAACATCATATCATTCCCAACTTTTCTCTGCCAAAGACCAGACAGATTAGTGACTGATGAGTTACCCCTACATGATTGCCAATTTTTCCAAGGATATAGGAAGCTAAGCACCTTCTTGTTATGGATTAGCTTATTCGTATAGTCTAACCAATTACTATAAGCATGTTTTTCCTTTTTCACTTCAGGTACAAATGGGCTATTCTTGAAGACCATCCAAAGGTTGTGGGCAAGTGTACTACTAGGCTTGGGCATTCAGAGTCTTGGACTAGGCTGTGATTTCTTCCATGGCTTACTACATTAAAATGCAATTGCAATTTTTTTTCTTCAAACTGGTGGGATGAAACATAGAAGACCATAATATTGCCCTCCTTCTTTAAGTAAAATATTACAGAGCAATCCTGCTCTGCACATAAAAAATTCTTATACCCCTTTTGGCAAATAACCAGACCCAATAAAGAAAAGAGATATCTTTAAAACACTCTCTCTCTCACTGTGTGCGCACGCATATGCATGCTAGTATGTACGTATGCGTGTGCTATGTACGTCGCAAACACATCTGCATCTCTCTATTAGAAGTGTCTCCAAGTGCATATGTATATGAGCGTCCATTCGTAAGTCTGCACATGGATGTCTGTGTATAAATGCTTCTTTCCTGTTTGAATCCATACATAAAAAGACACTGAAGTTTGTGCATGAACTGTACATTTCATTTGAAAATAAATCCTCATTTCTATTGGAAGGATGCCATATGTGTTGATTGCATGATTGGCCCACAGCTTTTTATTTCAGTCATCCAAATAACTATGGATCAGTGAACAACATAATGGTGTCGGTGAAATTCATTTATCTACGTAAAGAAACCACCAGCTGAAGAAGGTATCTTGACGATTGTTGCATTAATGTTCATGAGAACGGAAACCTACCAAAAGGTTATGTTTGTTGTTTGATCAGACAATTAATCTTATTTAGGAAATGAAGTACAGGATGTCTGTTATGCCTGATAAACCATAAATTTCAGTTGGAAGACTAATTGTACCCTCTCTTAAGCTGCATAATGCAATTTCCACGCATGATTCATTTATAATAGAATAAGAACCTCTGAAGTGATTTCCTGATAGCAACCATGCTATATCTATTTTGTAAATGATAATTTACAAACAATAATGTCAACAAAGCATCTAGAAAATTATGCTACCGTGACAAGTTCAAAAACATACAATGTCTCTAACATAATGGAGTATCACATTCAAAAATAGGTAGAAATAAATGGAATCTTTTTGTATTTCATAAACAAGAGAATGGTAGCAAGTATTCATGACAAATAAAAGGCAACATAGATGAAAAACAAGAAAAATCAGCAAGCATTTGGAGGCCAAAATAGAATCACAAAAAAAGAACTTCCTGTTTATCCACATGCTACCTCAGCTTAACAAGTTAGGAATTCAAAGGATGTATGTTTTAGCTCCTTCAATGCTTGCCATCATGTTGTGGATGATTAAAGATCCACTGCCTCTGATCCTGCCAGCCAACCAGCAATAAATGTATGCCACCATCCAGAGATCGAACTTAGATGGTATCTAAAGAAGAACCGAATCATGATAATAGTGATTGGCTAATAGATCAATATTATACCTTATAATTAAACAGGTAGACTCTTAAGCATTCCTAAGTTAAACATTTGATATTAATTTCCACAATACTTCATTAGACCAGATGTTTTGCCAAGATGAACAGCATAGCAGTATAAGTTTTTCCACATGCTTTGGTACAGTCAACCATAATAGATGTATGGTAGTTATCAGAGTTTAATATGATAATTGGCTCTGCAAAAAAGTAGCATTTAACTTTCATTTGCCCAAATGCAAAATGAATCTGATATGAAGCTTTTGTTGCAAGGATATCATTAAAGCAGAATGTTTGTTCTCTTTTCTTTTTTTTTTTTCTCTCTTTGAGGATGATATAGTATAGGATCAAGGAGTCGTGTCTCACCAACAACTTGATGATAAAGAAGACCAGAATGCAAGCGAGTCTAGTGATGAACAAATGCCAAGTTAGCGACCAAACTTCTAAATCATTGACAGACATTCAGAATGTCAGTCTAGACTAATCATTTCAACAATGTCAAAATTGAGAGTATGTTACTTCATAGATAATATCTGTTCATTTTTTTTATTTTTGGAAGAAATTAATTGCCTTCCTTGGCTTCTTAAGATCGGTGTGAACCTTCATGATACAACTGGGTCTTGACTTTTCATCTCTCCCCTATATCCCATCATCTTCCTGAGCTTTGCTCTATCATCCAAGTTCTCATGTGCTGCATAAATGTTAGATAAAAGAAATAGTAACAGCTTAAAGTGTGGTTCAACTTCAAAGCAAAGTTCTCCAAGCTTAGCCTCACCTCTTCTAGCAGCAGCCAGAAGAGCTCCCCACATTGCTCCATTTGGCTCAAAAGGCAAACCTCTAAAACAGATATCAGGCAATTCTCAGAACCTGCACGTCCAAGAAAGTCAACCATACAACCATAGGACTGAATTCTTCATTTGATCATGCACTTTGAGTTCATTTAGTCAAAATACCACCTTCCTACGTCTGTCAGTCCCAAATAAATAAATACGAGACGAGAGACCAGCTAGGAAGTTGACATCATTAGGTTGAACACTAATAATTCCCATTCTACAAATAATCTTGACAGCTTCTGACCCAAGCCATGCAAAGCGAAACTTGCAATCATTGTGGTCCAAGTGATCACACTCTTCAGCTTCATATTCTTAATACCCCCAATGCTTCCCCGATTTCCAGAGTCAGCGTACATGTTCATCAATGGTTGCATCATGGAAATAATAGTCTACAATCCATGCTCGTCTATAAGCTACATATCCATTCCCTCAAATCCACTGCACCTAGATTGGCAAGTTCAACTCATCTAGCAAAGCTGGCGAACCCCATATCCACCTGACCATATTTCTCCCAGGCATCCACTTGAAAACATTACGTGCATTGTCAACGTCCCCAACATTGACCCACCCCGCAATCACTGCATTCATTCAGCAGTACCACATCCTCTTCCCAATTCCATCAAACAGCTTATCTGCATCATTCACGTCGCCATGAATGCGCTTCAACAACCAACCTTCGAGGTCGTACGCCTGCCATATGTTCATAATGATCACACGTAACAGTTACGACCATCCACATATCCTCCTCGTTCTCCTTCTACCGCATGGAATTAGGACAAGAGGTAAACTACAATCATACTTGGACCACTTCCGTGCTCGACCTTACACAAAACTTGGACTTCATCCATCTACAATCTTCCACATTACTCTTTGGCTAAAATGGATTGCTGGAACACCACAAGAACACCACATGGATGGACGACATGAAGTCTACGACGAATCTTCCATCCAGCTATGTGGAGGTAGTAACCTCTCCAAAGATGAGTGTCGATTATGACAGTGCCAAACGGGTTAGCTGCTGCGATAAGAACAAAAACACGTGTCACGTCAGCCTCCATGCACGGGAGTTGGATACGTGGACGCAGTTACATAAAGACCGCGACAAGGAGCCGCGGACAGACGTCTGATGTAACCACCGCTGCAGGGCTTCGTGACGAGGACAATGCGAGTGCGGCCAAAAAACAGCGTCTTTGGCGCTCGCCCTCCCTGCACGCGGCAGACAGCGCAGCACGAGAACTCGCACCTCCTCGCCATCAGCTTCATGGTATTCTCTCTCTCTCTCTTACTCTCTCTCGTAATGTTTTCATACATTTTATGGACATGAAACAGAGGGAAATAGTAATAATGATACTAATTTCATCAAATTGTTTGGCAATTTTCTTCAAGAATACCACAGCCAATTTGTATCTCCCGCATGCTGCTTATTCCCCTGCAATTCAGTAAATTTGATCATACAAGTCAATGCTCTTTCTATGAAAACGTAGCCAATCTCTCCTCTTGTTGTTGGTGCCACTAAAAAGGTTCAGTCTCATTGTTTCATCAACCACCAGCTTTTTCTTCACTTGGATCAAAAACTAGTCCTGAGATGATCCAAAACAACTGGTTTTTTGTACTTTCACATTCACATTCACATCACACGAGACGAGAGGGTCACAAAGAAGCAAGGATGATATAAAGATTATGCACAAACCCTCGAGCAAGAACATGAAGTTCCCTCCCTCATCGCTCGCCACATGACTACTGAGCAGGCTCAAACACAAAAAAAAAAGCATGCGCCTGCACTGCTGCATCTATGGTAACAGTACATATACACAGAAGAGAGGCCTGGGACAAGATCCCCTACATTGAACAAAAGTGTACATGTATACGTAGCAGTTGCGAAAGGTACAAGGGTAAATGGAGGTCATCTGCCAGCGGTGACCATGGCCTTGTCTTCAGAATCCTGGGTGTCGCTGAGGGTTGCAAGCACAGGGAATTTTGGGCTTGCACGAGCTCTCTCTGCAACATCATCAGGACTTGGAAAAAGAGATGGCATCTTGGCGTAATTGAAGGAGAGGTCTGTGTTTGCAGCCAGAGCCAGAAGCTCTGACTCCTCCAAGCCCTTTGCTGGGCCGAGGCTGCACCTGTCCGTGCTGTGCTTGGCCAATGCATCTTTAAATTTCTTGATCTGCATATGATGAACCACACAAGAGAGGTCAAAATCAGAGACCTAGAAATGATCCTGGGTGTGAAATTGACCGATTACAATAACAATTTAAACATGATGCTCTTACAACCATGTTCATGTTCTAATGCCACATATCAATGCCAAAATGAGGGGGGGGAAGATTGAAGAGGAATGGGGTTGTGGATCTTACAGTGGCATTGGTGCAGCTGAAGCTGCCGAGGCGCCCATGGGCTCCCCGGTAGAACCTAAAAAATGGGAGGACATGGACATGCAAGCTATAACACATGGACTTGAGCTTCTCATAGTTGATTTGAAGAAACAGAACATTAGGGTTCTTCTCTGCAAACTGGCAAATCTGCACCAAAGAAAAAGGATATTAATTCTTGAATACCTTCAAATAAGAGGAAATTAAAGCCTAACAGCAGAAATTTCATAATAAAAGATCATACCTTGGGATGGAGGGCCCTGCAGCCTCCACATCCAGAGGAGAAGAAATCTACAATAACAAGCTTGTCGCCTGCGTTCAATAAGGAGTCGACGAGATCTTGCGCCGACTCGATCTCCTTCATGTTGGCTTGCAGACCCTTTTCCCACCATTTCAAAGACTTTCCGATCGAAGGGGTCATCTGCGAACAACCAGTAGACAGAGTTATTAGAATCTTTAACCACGAAAATCAAATAGCATCAAATTGCTAAACGAGGAATCCCTTGCAAGCCCATCATAAAGTATAAATTTGGAGGGTCAATGAAAACCCTAAAAAGATTGTTTCTGGTCCTCGCAAAGAGGAAACGAAGGAACGCGAACTAAAAAAAGAGGCAAACAAAGAAATTTCTTGACCTGGTCATAAAAGATCAAATCTTTAAAACATTTCATCATATCAATCAATAAACAGGGCAAAAGCGGCAAAAGACCGGATCTTGAAGCCTCCACGTACCTGCACAGGAACCGAAGAGACGCGTCCACGCAAGAGCTTCCCTCGCGGCGCACCAAGAGCCAATGTCCTCCCGTGGAAGCCACTGCGACGGAGCGCCACAAACGCGGGGCTCTTCCTCTGCTCGCGAGAACGCGACAAGCTAGCGTGGCCGCTGGACGAGGAAAGGAAGCACCTTTGAGCCAAAAG